AAGTGTGTCAGTTTTCAGTTTCCATGCATATTAATAACCTAATTTGCATATTGATTAGCACATTTTAGTCATTTTCATTTGTTTCTCAAGTACCGTTCTACAGATTTTGATGAAACATGGTACATGCCCAGGGATAATGTGCAAACCTGATTAGTTTGGGGTTGAAATCAATGTGATATAAGTACTGTTGCTGATATGGACATGCAACTTGTGCTATAGTTTTGTCTGACAAAATATATGACCAAAATATCAAGTCATCATATATGGTCATTATTTCATTGAATATTTGTAATTGTTAAACCATAGCTACTTGGAACCCCCCTCCCCGATCATTGCTTGCAGTTATATTTTTAAATGCTGTATTTGCTCTAATAGAAGCACATGTGGTAACTTCATGCCTCCAATACCTTCAGCACACAGGAGTTCTTTCTAAACTATCTTTGATTTCAAATTAAAATTTCAGTCAATATTATTATAAGTTACTGTTGTTATGCAATGTTATTTTATCTGAAATTATCATATTGATTTGGTAATAAAATACTGGTTTACAACTTTTTGTGCTTATAAATGATGATGTGTGACATTTACTGTACTGATGATGACTATGTGATATTACAGAATGCCATGGCCTCACACTGACGTTTGTGTATGGAAGTTATTTTTATGAGTGATGCGGCGTATCCTGCAGCCACATATCCATGAGCGCAGCATGGATACATCGCATCATGAGTGTCATGAAAGAATTAACAAGTCAATAAATTTTGTATTCATAACTCTAATATTGTCATTACAGGTTTGGTTTCGTAAAGGTATTCACGCTATCAAAGCTTACATCGACAGCTTTGCTGAGCTAGGATTGGGCTGGGTTGAAATGGTTGGAAATATGTTACAGGTTTCCGTTGGGCCAAATGATCAGGTTTGTATTTACATGTAAACGTCTTGGAATCGGCACTATTAACACTGTGTCTGTGTGGACAGACGTTTTTGCTGATCTTTGCAACTTAAGTCAACTATTGTCACCTTTCACTAAATGAACCTGCATAATTATTTTAAAATTATTTATTTCAATTTCTGTAGGAAATGCATAATATATAAATAAACATGTATATTGATTATCTAATTTTTAGCCAATATCTGATATCTCAAAAAATCATCTTTAAATTGAACTTGTGGTTGATGTGCTCTGGAATAAATTAGACTGAAAACCACAGATGTAAAATCAACTATTATAAACTTCAATAATGTGGATCACATTGTTTTCTTGTTGTACATCTCAAATAGCAGACAATTATTAGTTGCCAAGCTTCTTGTTTGGAAGGTTAATTACATTTTTAATAAGGCTCCAATACTCTCAGCACACAAGAACTCTTTCTAAGCTTTCTTTAATTATCTAATTTATTTTGGCTAACTTTGATGTTTGTATGTGTTCTATGTACATGTATATTTTTTCAAGATATTGGTTAAACTTCACTTGTCTTCTCCATGTGGCTACAATAAATCAAACAATTTTTCACTGATCATCTTTAAATTTATGAATCTTATCAATCCCTATGAAATGTCAACAAAGTTAATTTTGGTGTAGCTAGCTAGTGCAATTTCTAAGATAAGGGGTAAAATTTGTTACACATAGAAATAAGTGAACAGAATGAAGACCTTTGTACTGTTAACATGAACCAGATGTTACCATAGTAATATGCTCTCCATAATCTGACTATTAGATTGTGCAGTAAAAGGCAACAAGTACAGTGTTAGTAGTTTTTCCCCGCCTTTTGCAAATCTGCCTTTTATTTTATTTTGTTTATATATATTCCTGCGCTTATTGTTTAGGAACTTTTATTTTTATTTTATTTTTCATTATTCTAAAAGGACATTGAGATTAATAGTCTAAGAGTGCATGTAGTAATATTGGTGGATCATTAAATAATTAATATTTTGTATGTAACTATTATGACTTCATTGTTCTTGTCCGTTTTTAGTCAGAATTGTTTTCGTCTAAATTTTATCATGCAAACAAAAGATCGTGCATCGGTAGTTCTTATCCATTCATTCATTTTGTTATTTAATCTAGATTCTCAATGTGCAAGGTTATAATAGTTATGCTACTGTGGAATACTTTATTTTCGCTGGAATTAATTTTCGCTGAAAAGGCTTTTTGGGCGTTTGCTTGGAATTTATTTTCACTGATTTTGGATGAGTTTAATGTGAAAATATAGGAAAAAAAGTATATTCGCTGGATTTTATTTTCACGGAATCATCCCTTCAGCGAAAATAGCGAAAATAAATTCCAAGCGAAAATAAAGTATTCTACAGTATGCTTTTACATTTTGTTTACATATACTAAATATAACACAGACATAATTTAATTTAACAATGTTGTTTACCATTATTACTGATCACATCAACATTTGTCATTTTTACACAACACAAACTGTAGTTATGCATTGAGATGAATAAAGTATTCTATGTACTGTAAAATACTTTATTTTCGCTGAAGAAATGATTTAGTGAAAAAAAAATGCAGCGAATATACCTTTTTTCCTATATTCAACTCAAGTCAAAAATCAGTGAAAATAAATCCCATACAAAACACCCAAAAAGTCTTTTCAGCGAATATTAATTCCAGCTAAAATCAAGCAGTTTACAGTAGTTAGCAATACACAAATCATGCGTGTTTCGAGTCATGGTTTTCAATGTGTGTTTTCCATGGTTTGCAGGTTTGGGCTTTAGGATATGAGGACAGGACTTTGTACTTCAGAACGGGTGTGACATCAGCTGAACCCTATGGTAAAACATGGAAAGTCATTGAATGCAAAGAACAACATGCAAGTTCCATGTATTGCAATAGCAGTACGACTAGTTTAGTGACTTTGCTACACTCTATATCCATGTCGGAAATCTATGAGAATAAACAGCAGGCTGAGTTTACAAAAGGCTTGATTGAATCCATAAGTGCAGGCAAACTGTCACGCTCACTTGAAGATGAGAGTTCACCTTTTGTAAACAGTTGTGATAGTCTTACTGATGGATATGCTAAAAAGGTGGAGTTTTTTATGAGTGAGGACGAGGATATGAAAAGGACTTGTACAAGAAAGAGAACTGGGAGTAGTCCATCATATGGGTATGCACCATATTGGGATATGGGATCCCTGGATGAAAATAAAAGTGCAGAATGCACCCAACCAGAACAATCACACATTGTGGAATTGCTTCAGTCTTCCAAAACATGCGATAGGACTGACATAGAGAAATTTACAGATGATCCAAGTAGGTTGTCATCTGCTTGTTCTGTCAGTATCCATGGAAATGATGATGTCAAGAACTCAGAGGAGATAAATGATCATGGTTCCAAGGAGAATCTTTTTATGCTGGAAGAATCATGTGTGTATCCTGATCACTGTCGTGAGACAGGATACATCTCTGATGCGTCAGATACTGTTATTGATTTTGTCAGTGATTTTCATAGTGATGATGACAAAGAAGCTATTAAGTTTAACAGCAATTTAGAGTCTGTGTCGTTTCATAAAACTGCTGGTGCTAAGACTGCGATTGCAGATGACAAAAATCAAATTTCCAATTGCACTCAAAATCTGGGTGCACAGATTCCAAATCTTACAAGTGAAGGACATGTTAGTATTGATAGTTTCCACCGAACTCTGAGTGACCTTTGCCAATACTACAGCAGCGGGGATGTCTCCTGGGTGTGTGTTAGTGGAGGCGGTTGCTTCTTGGATCCACAGTCACTTCCGAATTGGTTTTCACAGCCTAGGTCTTCCATCAGTGGTGATTCAGGTAAACTAAGTTAACAAATTGCTTGAAGCTACAAACTGAATTGCTATTTCATTAAAATCCGGAGAAGGTAACGAAAGCACTCTGAAACAGAAGTATGGCCATCATTAAACATTTAATTAATTTAACACCTGCGCGAAGCCTCGATGGGAATACCAACATCAATAATGGGGGTAAAATGGCATCAACAAGCAGTGTAATGTGTTTGTGGATGTCCATAATACAAATACCGGATGTCATAGAGATACCTATACTTTCCCAGCCTTCCATTAAAGATCCATGTAAGCACCACAAAAAGCCAGCATTCTACAGACACACCATTTAACAATTTAATTTTTACCAGCCCAACAGAAAAGTTACCGGCCTCTTGTATACAGGCAGGCAGTAACTTAATCATTTTCAGGTAGTAGTAAAACTATTGTGATGGATCAAACACCACACTTGTAGAATTATATTTAGGCAGTTTTTTCATTCACTAAGGCATTGTATTTGACCAAAGTGTTTTCAAGCAACATTTAAAATTCATGAGAATATAGCATTTACCCCATTAACCATTCAATTATTTTCATTGTTGCTGTCATCAACTTCAGTCTAAAGACCTTTTTCATTGTGACGTGTTGTTATTTTCAGTTCAGAGTATGTCTGCTATATACAGGAATAAGATTGCCAATGGGGAGTGGAGACTAAGTATTTTCCGAAAGCTCCAGGAGAGGAATGTTTCAGAGGTCACTGGTTATGAATCCTATACCCCAGCAGTGGAAAGGGTAGGTCCCTGTATAATAGATTTTCTATGGCTGAAAATAGAACAACCTTTGGGGGGGGGGGGTGTCTATTATGTTAGTCATGGCAATGAGATATACACATGCAGTTATATACCGGTATTCCTTAGTTCTAGGATGTCTTTGTTCATACATGTAGTTCCCCTGTTTCATAGATATTGTATTTTATGATTCTTGATAGCTCATTTGAGCATTCACTGATTTTATAGGTATTTTATAGGTTCTTCCATACATTCCTTGTCTTATCTTTTTTGGAGTTTTATTTTGTATTCTGTAACCTTGTATGCTGTTGATGCATGCATGTACACAGACCACTATTACTTAGAGAATAACCAGCCCTGAGATACGAGTATATCAAGAGATTTCGACCAGCTTCACAACATGTACACAAGCGATAACAAGTGTGTATATGGAGTGAACTGATCAAAATTGTGTGGTATGCCCAGCCTGAAGAGATGGTTATTCCTATTATATTATACCAATTTCACTTAAAAGTAATTCTAAGATACAGAAATAAGCACCAAAAGCCTTGTTCAGCATCTGAAACATTCATGTTTAAATGAACGGGGCCCTGGAACTAGCATACAGCGATGCATCAAGCAGTGACACAAATTAGTTTATCAGCATTCCAAGGTTTATTCGTGCAGTTTATTGCTGGCGACAACATTGGTATATATAAAATCGTCTCAATTGACAAAATTTCAATGCTGATGCTGAACAGCACCATACACCTGATTGCTTTATGAGAATCAACAAAACTTCTTGGTTCACAAGTGAGCCACTGTAGTGAAAAATAATGTTTTGTTGATTTGGGGCCTAGTTCTAGTCACAGAAAACCATGGTATATCAGGTATTTTAGACCACTTGAATTAAAACCACCTCGCATCCAATCACAATCGTGCATTTATGGACACACACTGACACTTATATAATTTTTTTAATCCGTGCAGACATCCTGGGTGAAGAGAGGCTGTATGTTATGGTGGCATGAACAGAAACCATTTAAGTGGTTTGATTGCAGTGTGGAATTAGAACAAGGTGTTGGTGTCAAAATTCAAGACTCTACATTAACTGTTTATTATCACCACCATGGCAAATCACGGGTAGGTAACTAATCATGCATTAAATAGGTAGTTTGCACATACAAATAATAGTCAGCAAACAGCTGAAAGCTACAAATGTCATCCAGCAGAGTACCATCTATGCATGAAGTAAACTAAGATAGATATGTCCAATTCTTTTCAACAAATGTCAGCCAGCAGAGTACCATTGGAAGTGAAGTGTCAGCTATCAACAAGTCCATTGCCAATTACAATTAAACTCAAATTGCAGGAATGCTGCAAATCACTTAAGGTTTCTTTAAGGCTTAATGTAAATACATTAATTATTCCCTAGTTTTTAATTTGGCTGATTTCATTGACAAGTCAAATTTTCTAAATTTATTGCTCCCCTGCCAAGTTCATGAATTTGAAACCCAGTGAAATTGCTCAAAACTTTAAAATAGTGAAATTAAATGCCAGTGAAAATAAATGATTTTACAGTATCATGCATGACTTTTCAAATTGCTCTCACACTGGGAAATCATGAAATGTTTTTCTTTCATTTTCAGCATGTGCAATTACCTCTGAGTGAGATAACCTGTGTGTTGAAAGTGAATGGTCCTGACTCAAGGTGCAACAAATCTGTATTTGCTGTGATCACTGCTAAAAGAACAGTCAAACGAAAACCGCTTAGACTTGCAGCTAATTCTCACGAGGAAATGGAAGACTGGGTACATTTTTTTAATTATACTTTTTGTTTCCACTACTTGCTGTTTCAGGGTATTTTGCTGTGCAACAAAACTTGTAAAAATTATTGCCACTAATGATGGCAATCAGTCACCAAAGTTTGTTTAATAGATTTTTTTAATCATTGATGTTTGTGGTTGTTCTATATTGAGTCAGACACATGTGTATAAATATCACATCCAAGAAAATCTTTTGGAAATTCACAATCACTGAACTTCATATTGGAAAACAAAATGAAAGAAATTGTGGGACAAAATGTGATAAAAATTAAATATGCATATTTGATTTAAATAAAACAAAATATAGTTCTCTATCTTGTTTTTTCCCCACAGTTATCAGCAATCAGTATGAGCTGCTGTGATGTCAAAGGATTGAGACTAGCGCCCTCTAACATGGCTTTATGGATAACTTCCTGTCATGGTGACATCTTCTTTCATGAACCATGTCCCGATATAGAAACCATGCCATGTAATGAAATGTGAGTAAATTATTGGATATAACAAACAAGGCTTCCTCAACTTGAAATATTTTTATGTAATCTGAAATGAGTATATCTGTGATTACCAAAGCAGACGCAAGAAATTTTGATATATTTGTAGCTGTAAAAAGAAATTAAAGCTGCAAGCGGCGTCAGCAGGGCCCAAGCTATCAGAAATATTTCATAATTAATTTGGTCACTGGATGGAGTGCCATTAGAGTACACGTAGTTTGAATGATCTGCACCATGAGGTCGAAATGCAATTTCTTCCATGTATTTACCTGGTTCAGTTATTGAGATATGGTTTTCAGAATATATAATGAGCCATGTGCTTATGCATATTAAATGAGGTTACATGATGATATAAATCTCTTGCAGTTACCTCTTTCATTTGATGTCTTCATTATGGCACTGGGTACATGTTCTGCTCTGCAACAGTTTTACAGATATGACAGTTATGCATATTAATTAGTTCACATGACCATATTTGGTCATCTGTTATTTTACTCAGATCTTTTGTTTAACATCGTCAGGATAATGCAGGTTTCATCTTTCTAACTGCAACAGTGCTTGAGATATAACAGTTATGCATATTAATGTGGTTAGAAGCCCCCTCCCCTGGGTGCCCAGCAACATGACCTAGCCCATGTGCCATTTGGATGAAAGTATAATGCACATACACAATTTTAGCCAAATCGGACAAATACAACACATGTAATTGCACAATTTCTGTTTTCACAAAATCCAAGATGGCGGCCAAACCATGTTATAGATCAAAATTATATTATTTTTCTCATATGAAGCTATGGCCAAGCATGTCATATACAAAACAACCAAGTAAATCAGTTGAAGCACCTTTGAGAAACAAATGCCCAAACTTTTGGTAAATTTTGCCGAAAATCCAAGATGGCGGCCAAACCACGTGATTGATCTGAATTCTTGATTAACTTTCTGAAAGAAAAAAGATGGCGGGAAAAGTCACGTGACCACTAACGTTTTTATTGCTGATATCTATTACATACGAGTTGTACTATATGCCAACAAAAATCAGATCACCTAGACTCTCAGAAAGTGCTGAAACAGCAACTTCCAATTTAATTTCAACCCAATATGGCTGCCGAACTAATTCACCAATCACAATTTTGAAAGTTTATGTACTACATGTAGTTCACATTAGAAACTATAAGTATGGAGAAGGTCAGACCATTCTGTTAAGCTGTTTTCTCAAAAAACTTGATAAAAAAAGTTACGAAAGAAAAAAAAGAAGAAGAAAAAAAAAAAAAACTGGATGATAATAATAGGGGCTTGAGCCCCTAAAAAGAAATAATCGAACAATAATAATAGGGACCTAGCCCTACGGGCTTGGGCCATTGAAAAAAGCAATCTTATATACAATGTATAGACCGGGTAGATAATGAACTTTAACTTTTGCTATGTTTGATTTATGTGAATCTTAACTATATTCAGGTATTGGTGTCAGATGGGTGGTCACATGTCAATGGTTGAATGTTGCCCAGCTGGTGTAGTCTGGGCAATTGGATATGACAATACAGCCTGGGTGTACAGTGGTGGATATGGAGGAGGTCCATTCAAAGGTAAGTTATCAGGTAAACTCATAGAATTGTCAAATTTCCACCTGTGATAGGCTGATATATATTAATATTACATGTATGTGTTATTCCAGGAGTAATTAGCCATACTGCTGGTATTCACAAACAGACTGACTGCAAAAACATGTATATGTATCAGAATCAACGCTGGAACCCAATATATGGATTTACTGATAGGTAGGTGTCTACCAGTGCTTACTCTCCTCCTCTCCTAGTTGATGAAATGGAATGGACAAGAGCTCTTTCCCAAAGTGCATTGCAAGGTTGTGTTGTGTAACAAAACGTTTAGTCTGACACCAGGATTGGGACATTTTAGGTGACTTTATCAGCTTAGTCATTTATTAGTAGTTATCTGATAGTCGCTCCCCTTTGTTGACTAGGCAATCAAGTATACATGTATAAACACTGTATCACTGTCATCATTTAGATCTAAGTTTATTTATTTTTATCATGAATTAAGGATTCTACTAACTTGGAGTAGGGTAATTCATAGGATGTTAATAGTTTTCTCCAATGTGTTGCTTTCAGAGGATTTCCTGGTGAGTTAATGACCTCTGGTGATTCATCAGCAATATCAAACCATCCACAGCAAGTTAAATTACCGTCACCACACTGGCAATGGGTTAGTCAATATTGTACTCTCTTCACCATCCCCATCAGGGTCAACCATTGTGCCTATACTGATGGGTCATGTATGTCTATATGAAAGAGACAGTGTATTTCAGTAGAAAATCATGAATCAGGTTCAGAAATTATTATGACAAATGAAAATGCGTTCTTGAAATACCTTTGTGATTTTGTTTTAGAATAAAATATAAACATAAATAAATAATATTATTATACATCTGTCATCATAACGCCATAAGTTACAGCATGCTGTAATTTTCCAAATATGGAACAATTACGCGCATAAGCGTCCTCTAATAATAAAAATAAACATGGCTGCCACCAGGGTTTGACCAGACTCCACACAAAGAAGTTGGCAGATT